ACTAAACATGGGTGGGTGTTCCAGACTGCTAAATTTCTTTGCCAACAAAACATCGAAGACTTTGGAAATGGTATCATTGTTTATCATACCAAATTCCTTTCAATTCCTTTTCATTTTTCTAGAAATTTGAGCTGGAGATCTTAAATCTGATGAATGTTTATTTATTACATATAAGATTACGAAGTTACATGGGCTGTGGGTAGTCGACTGTTTCATTTTTATGCACTCCGCATAAAACATGCACGCAGACACGCTGACAGCATTTTGACAAAGTGAACATACAATCATTTCTTTCAGTCCAAGACACGTCGATGGATGAGCTGTCACAAGACTCGATGGTGCCAACCTGCATGAGAGGAGAGGTATGAGACGAGGCCTCCACGTCGGCTGCAGCCTGTGACCATCCCGATGTTAGTGAGTGAATGCAGCTGGTTGTTGAAGGTCAAAGATGAACAGCGTAATTCCGCATGTTCATTGTAACGGTTTAAATTATGTGCTTCTTAAAATGTTGTGTTGAATTTCTATGAACGTTATATAAGAATGTGTGTGTGTGTGTACCAGCGTGCGTGCGTGTATATATGGAATTCCTGAGTACGGGGTCATTCAAAATACCCATACCAATTTATCGATTAATTTGTATAAAATTATATCGCGCAGAACAGAATGATTCTTGATTTCTGTAACGACTATTTTGAGTCATGTGGTTATAAATAATGAAAAATTATGAATTGGATTTAACATGGAAATGAGTAGTTGTGATTTATTTAAGCATTTTCCCGGAGGCTAGAAGAAAACAGGAAAAAGATCAGTCGGAAGGGTCGTTCTTCTGCCAAGATCGAAACCGGCGACTTTTCGATTATGAAGCAAGATTGCCAACCACTGCACCGCGGTAAGATAAATTATTGTTATATTTGTAAAGTATTGAATTGCACTGAGTACTTGCGGCTTTTAAAACAAAGAAACTCCATTGAGTCAAGACTTTATCCCACTGTTTAACAGGAAGCTTTATTACCATGACTCCTTCGCTGACTTAGAGTTTAATGAATTCTTAACTCGCGTGGTTAACTTCAATCTCCTGTAAAATCCCAGGGCAAGAAAATGCGAAACAGCTAGATCAGGGCCCAAGGCCAGACTCGACGTACTGGCGAAAAGTATAGCCACGATTCGCTTGCCAACAGAAAACAGAATGCATCCTGGGATGACGTGAAACTGAGGAGAAACATTGGAGGCATTATGTCAAGTGCTTTGGCAAGCCTTTTTTGTCTTAAAATTCTTGGCGTTGTTCCAGTTTAGTGCTTCGACAATTCTGTAGATGGTGCGCTGTTGCCACTTATGAGAGCCATCTAGTGACGAAATTGTACACTGCTTGATCTCACCGTAATAACATGGACACAATACCGCGTTGTCATAACAATAATAATGTACTACTTACATCAAGATACTAGTTAGGAGCTTTTATCGCCTTCAGTAAATGTGTCAGATATGATGCCCCTAACCTGGGAACGCGTAACGGAGAGTATAATAATGCCCTCTTTTTTTCTAGGCTATTATTATTTTTGATGTACAGAAAATGTTACATTCAAAACTTTTTGACCAAATCTGGGAGGCTCTGATGGGCTGGACATGTAGCATGCATGGGGGTGCAAAAAGAAATTTGGTACGAAATCCTTCTGGAAAACGACCACTGGGCAGACCAAGAAGGAGATGGGAGAATAATATCAACATGAATCTTGGGGAGGTTGGCTGCGAGGATGGCAAATGGATGGAGCCGACTCAGGATTATGGCCGGTGGTGGGTTTTGGTGTTGTCGGTGTTGAACCTTCGGGTTCTGCCACAAGTGTGTTAGTTTAGTAGGCCTATATGTAATGAACAGTGACCTTAACCTTTTAAAATTTATGGTTAAATGACATTTTTTTAAAGTTCCTAGACACACACTGAATTGTTCTAATGCTGCTACCGTCGTGTCAAAATTGTTGATGGGTACTTTACCGTGTGACCTTTAAAATCACACTGACCAAAAAATTAAAGAGCAAATTCTAAGAAAGTTTAAAGTCATTAATTTCAAAATCTTCTTTACTTCCTGCCTTATATATTACACACACAAAAAACAAGGATCGATCAACTTGGGGTAACGTGTGGTGAGTTCACTGCTAGCAACATTGATGTAAAAGTGTTGCCATGACATTTGATTACCAGCGTTGCTTTTATAGAAATACTTACGATTATTCAGAAAAAAATGTTGAAGGACGAGAAAGAGAACTGTGGGTTACACTGTATCTTGAGAAGCATAATACAGATTTAGCAGCGTAATCCGGTCATGAAAACTAGCAATGGCTGGGGGTTCGTCGTGCTGACCACATGTCACCCTGTATCTGGTTGGATTATCACTCACCTCTGCTTAGGCGTGTGAACGTGAGGCCAGCAGTCAAGCTAGTCGGCTTTGGCTCTCTGGAGCTGTTACGCCACGGATTTTTAATCTTGAAGGAAGCCCTTTGTTTCTGTCCACATTCAGACTTCTAGTGTAGTGGTGGTTTCTTCTCATCCAGTATCCAAAGCCTAGAACAACAGTTCCTTCTAAAATGCATCAGCCCAGTTCAGGTCGCATGAGTGGATGTTCTCATTTTTATTTATTTTTTGTGTGTGTGTGTGTGTGTGGGGGGGAGGGGGACTGATTTCCTTATGTTTTGGCACCCTTATCAGTTGAATCCTGTTCCATTTACAGTGAGGACCTGGACAGATTCATTTCAATGAGAAATTAACACACAATTTTAATCAGAAAATTCAGACAGAAGAGATTGCTTGGAAGTCTTAGTCATAGGTAGGAGAATAATATTAAAATAAACCTGAAAGGGATAGGGCATAAGGATGTGGACTAAATTTTATCTGTTTCAAGATAGCGATAACAGGCTCTTATGAACATGATAATGAACCTCTGGATTATGTAAAAGACAGGATGTTTCTTGACTAGCTGAGTGACTTATCTTCAGCTGTCTGCTTTAGATTGGTAGTTTAACCTTGTAACCTGACTTAAAATAGGCCAATATTTTAAAAATATTACCAGGGGAACACAGAAAATATGCACTGCTATACGGGGTGAGTTTCCTTTGGTAACCTGAAAGTACAAAATTTTGTGTTGAGCATATTGCGTGCAATAAACAATCTTCTACTTCTTGGACGATGTTTTATTTCTACATAAATCTGTGGACAAGTTATATGGATCCCTTAGGTTTACACAATGATCTGTTTTCATTGTATTTTTCTGGGTATTCTACTGTGTCGACATGACAATAAATTATCAGTGTTTCTGAGGAATTTGCTTCTCACATCTTATCCTTCATAATTCATAGCTGTTATATTCCTGTAAGACCCTCTGACATTATTTTGTTGTTGTTACTTCAAGAATGAAGGATAAAAAAGCAAGTTTCTCCAATACATTGGTAAGTTTTGCCATTTGGTAAAGGTGTGATGATAGGAAGACTCTGCAATGCCCATGGACAAATTATTTATTGAATCCTGTCCATGACCAAGTCATAGAAGTGGGAAATTTTCAGTATAGAGATGCCCATGATCAAAATATCTGGTGCTGTCTTGTGTAGTTGTATCTATGGATCCTTCTCTGGCAAGAGTTCATTTATTTCTCACTAATACTATAGCACACATTCATTTCCATCGAAAATTATTATAAACCAATCAAATGGATTTTTGAATCGTCCTGTCTGAACTTTTGTTATTAATCTTAAAACCTTACTTAACATGTAGTGTATTGAAATATAAAATGTCCATACAAGCAACTGTTTACACTATGTAGGATACTAATGCCAAACGTGTTTCGACCTCTCCCACGCGTCGTTGAAGTTCACAGGCACAGACGATGCAATCGCGGCTCACCGTAGACCAGCAATGGCCTTGAGACCAGTGGACTAACAGCAAAGTGCCCAACACACCAACTCCTGTGCAGCGAACATCCAGTGGAGTGTTACTAAATATGGTTTTGTAAAGAACTTACCTTTACGCTCTGCTAAAACCATTATCTGTTGATTTATGTTATATGAATTAACTTGTCTTTGTGCCACTGATGATGACCTCTTGAGGTTGAAATGTGTTTGGCATTAGTGTCATTCATAGTGTAAACAGTTGTTTGTATGTACATTTTATATTTTGTTATTAAGTTATGTCCAGACCTGGATCCTCCGTTTTGAGATTGTTGTGCAACATTCTTTTAATGCTGTTACGAACCAAGTTTCTGTCTCTATCTTAAATGATTTGTGAAGTGTCTACACGGTTGTAAAACATGGTGGATAAAGGGAGAAAATTTTTCTGCAGTAATATTGATGCAGTGTTACACAACAGTTTTGAAACACATTGTCGTGGACATACCTTTATATTTCCAAGCTGTTGGTCGAGTAATATATTTGAAATGAAATACACATTTCTGAAATGTTCATAAGTAACCATTTCTTAAGAAGTTCCTTAACCCATCCTCCTAACTTCCATGATTCTCAGTAACCATCAAGCATAAATAGTAGCTATTTTCATGAATAATAAAGAATCACAAGTAACCAATTTTCTGACAAGATTTATTCTGTTATGTGTCCAATGAATAATGTGACAGTGGAGAATATGTTTTGTTCAGAAATATACCTATAGTAAATGTTTTTATTACAAAATGCAGCCACAGAAAATGTTTGCTTGAGAATTGCTAGTATAGTGGATTATTGCAACTTAACCTATACAGGGTATACACAAAAGAATGGTGCGGTTTCAAAAGTTAATAAAAAATTTATTTCTCACCTTACACGGACACAACATACACCATCAGCGGAGGCAACTGTCCAAGTTTCTCATGCGTTAATTACAATCCTTCAGTGTATGCACCCTGGGTCACACGACACACATCCACACGGTAATCAAACTCATCCCATCCAGCGCTGTGGAAAAACACGATTGAGAAGCACTCGTACATTCCTGTGAAAATGGGGAGGAGCTCCGTCCAGTTGTAGAATGTAATCGTCATAATTGGTATTCAGTTGGGGTAACAACCAGCTTACCAACATGTCCAAAAATGAGTCGCCAGGCACATTTGGACCATTCTTTTGTGTACACTATGTATAATGTTATCAGCCAAGGTAGCTCAATCAGTAAAGTGACTGGACACAAGCTGGATGGCTAGGATTTCATTCCCAATATGGAAAGAAGTTTTTTCTTTGCCATCATATCCAGGCTGCCTTAACTATTTGTTCCCAATTTAGTAGATGTCAACTGGGATGGAGGAATTAGTTGGTTCAACTGTTGGAACTGATGAACATGATTTTTCTGTGGGATAGACAGTGCTGAGATTCTACGGGTTGGCTGACTGAGCTTATCAGTGTTGGCTGGACTGCTTTTGCTGAGACAGTGTGGATTGTTGCATATCTAGGTTGTGTTACTGAGTGTTGTCTGGGCTGGTGGAGAACTTCTTGGGAGACTGAAGATCAGTAATCCCTTTGACTATCTGGTGAGTATTCAATATTGAGAGATAGAATGATGGATGTTGTTGTGTCACGAGATAAATCATTGGTATTTCAATGCCACATCAGACACCTGAATGTACCTATCAGTTGCATATGTCATATTTTATTGACCTACATGTTTTTAAGTAAAATATAATAATCTCATATTAGATCCATTTTCCAGTTTAAGAAACCTAACCTCTCTCATCTTAAAACTTTGCATAACGTTTGGTGTATTAGAATATAAAATAAGCATCTCTCAGCCTGTTTTTGGAAATGGGTGTATTTTATGACATTTTTGTGTGTAATAAAGTATGGTTGATAAGCCTGTGTCGATGACATAAATGAATAGAGTTTAAGAATGCCCGGGATGGTAAAGTCAATTTTCCAGTGAGAGAAGAATTGATTGCCATGCTTTAAAGTTTGACTGTGAAGCCTGTAGAAGAAGGTGAAACGAGAGAAGTACACATTGAATATCTTACTAAAAATGTTTCAGACAAATGTAAATTACTGAAAGAATTATTTAAAACTTTGCTTGGATTGAATGAGGTTATGTCTGATATCTGTGCAGATTGTCTTAAGCAGGAAATGGACAATTTCAACCTGCTGCTGCAGTGACAAAAGCTTCACAGAATCCAATCCTGTGTGTTATATTTTATCACGCTACTCATGATCACCATGTTCTGATATAATTGTAGCAACTGTATTTTCAAGAACTGTTTTAATATTATTTATATTCTATTAAATCCAAATTAGTTTTAAGACATTCTTGACAGATAGTTTTTACATGGTGGTGGATATAGAGGTTTTAACAAGGCTGTGAAGAAGACTGGAAATAATTTCAAGGTGAAGCAAATGTTTTACCCAACTTATATTTGGTTTTTCATAAAATTTATTGACTATAGCTTGGATGTGATATAATGCGAGTTAGTTCAGGACTCAGAATTTTACTGCTGTCTTGATACCAGACATGACTACAATGTTGGGGTTATCACTTTTGCTTCCTGCTTGCCTTTCTTGAGGTCAATGAGGTTATGATGAGGATTATTGATTGATTCAAGATTCAACAACACTCTTTTCAGCTGCATAGATTGTATAATATCGAATGGTAAGATGAATTGGAAAGGATGTTGGAAGGAAGTGGTCCTGGTCTATTTCAATATGCTATCTCAGCATCTTTCAGAAGGTAGTGAGAAAAACCATGAAGACTGTCAGTCAGGACAGCAAATCACTGGACCCAGATTCAAACCTGGAACCAACCACTTAACCCAGAAGCAATGTTAACCACTGAACCACAATATTGAATAAGGTGAGGATAGGCAGGGCTATTTGCAGTCATGCTAGGGAAAGGAGAGGCAGTTTCACAGTCATTCAGAATAAAATCAGGCAAAACAGAGAGTCAAATTAGAGAAGAGTGGTCTCCATCACACTCCACAGATTCTAGACCTTGGTACTAGATTCAAGTCAGTAGTGAGCTTCACACTCCAGCTACATGACAGAGTTGTGTTAAACTAATTTTCAGATTATATACATTGTCATACTTGCGTAATCTTGAATAAAACTGCGTTAGATTTGGCATGGCTATAAATTATTGGTTCAAATTCAGAAAATTTGTCAACTGACTGCATTTATGTAAGAATAATAGCAAGAATTATATGAATCCTTAACATGTCGATGCTTTGACATCACATCTGTTCACACAAATGGAAACTACATTCAAACTATAAAAAGGAAGAGAACTTGATCTCCGTGTAGTTGCGTTTTCTTCGGCTCAAATTTCCTCTTAAGCATTTTGTTTCCAATCAATCTACAATAATATTTTTTTGCCCTTTTGAGGAATACAATATATAATTCTGTTTTTGCTTTAAATGAGTGTGAATGCTGGTGTCCTAATTTTAAAAAGCAGCATCCTCTTGTGTTTATATTATAACTTTTATATTTTAATTGTCACTGTTTTACACAGCATTAATTCAGCATCTATAATCACTGCACTATTGCATTAATGTAACACTAACCTTAAAATGAGGAACATTCAATAGGGATTTCACTGTAGTGGAGGGGTTCCTATAGAAATCCATTAAAGATACCTGCATAATTTTTAAGGTCTTATTCTCTACAAAATAGTTTGTGTAGCTAAAGAGTGAGAAGTGATGATTTGATTATGGCAAATAGGACAGGAAGGTGATCATAGATGGTGACTAGATAAGTATTTTGAAGGAGCTGGTGCTGTCCAAGCACTGGATAAGACAGAATGGTGAATACCATGCAAAACCTCACTCAGGATGCTAGAAATGTGACCAGAATTTAAACTATGTACCTCCTTAAGACAAATCTAAACATTACAAACAGATGAATGTTAGTGGCACAGTTGCGAAAGGGAACATACCGCAGCGAGACCTAGTAAACACTGAAATAAAAAATTCCAAGAAGTATCAGGATAATCTACTTCCAAAATGAGAAGTGTCCAGAAGTCAGAGGTTTTAATACAGCTAGACTGATTCTTAATAAAAGGAGAGAAGACATTCTGTCGGAAAGCAGGTACAGTTGGTGGACTGTATAGTTTTATTCATTGTTAATTTTCAGCAGCTCAGGGTATATCGCGTAGGATGAGAGATTGTGAATTGGAACGGATGTGGAAGGGAGCGGTCGTGGCCTAATTTAAGATAATAGCCCGGCATTTGGCTGGAGGGACTGAGGAAAACCACTAAAACCCGAGTCATGATAGACGATCTCCTGGACGAGATATGAACCCGGGACCTCCCGAATATGATGCAGTAGCCTATCGATGCATTTCATTTGACGCCCAAATGTGCAAATATGCAAATGAAGAATGTGTTAACATGGCAGAACACCCAAAAAATGTGCCACAGTGCACCATGTGGGACTTGCATTTCGTAACCGGTCACAATATGGCGAAAGTTCGTAAAGTGTCGTACCCATGTTGAGGATCCCTGCACTGGCGTAAACCAGTAGCTACTGGTCTCTGACGGACAGTTTCAGAATTACAGGATATCCTTGTAGGCTGGGTTGTTCTGGTGTATTTACTTCTACAATCATTTGTTTACATACTAATTGGTAAGTGCAATCGGATTTCTCGAAAATGTGCTCATCATATACACGTATGTACGTGTATAACAGATGATACTTGTTTTGTTTCATGCATTATCATTTGTATGAAATTACTTTATTTCCCATTTGGTGAACGTTTAACGATAAGCTAATTTCATGGAGCCAAGTCTTCCTAGGGAAGTCAACAGCGTAATGGCTCATCCGATCAAGATACCCTCTATTATTTTTATGGGACCAGAAGGAACAGCGTGCTCACAACAACCCACCATTGGTTACAATCGTGAAGCTGGGAACTTGATCCGCGTCGTCATCTCCTATTTCTCCAATATCAGTTTTAATTTTTTTTTTGTTCAAAATGGTCTCTTCCCAAACAAAATGTTGTACGAATGCTACATGTCTTGCCATCGTATCTGTCCTGAATGTTTAACAGCATCAGCACTAATTTCGTTTGACTTGTCATTGACTGGTCTGAGCGATCAGAAATTATTTTAGGTTATGTTCTGCTTAAATGCGTTCTGGAATATTTGTAATTCCTGGAGTTTTCATTTCGTTTGTTCTGCTAATTTGTCTGTTGTGACTCGTAAGAAGTTTTAACCGGATAATTGATAAACCAGCAGCTTCTCTAAATAATCTACATATCGATAAACTATACTGGAGAGATATAATAATCGGTTAATTGCCCGCCTGTGGCGCTCCGTGCTCGCAGGTTCGCCTGACCGTCCAGTGATTAGAAAGGACAAGGACAGGCAGTGATGTGTCTTGTTTGACGAAAAGTGGGACGAATTGTGAAGGTCTGTACCGAAGAGTAATATGTTCCGTGCAAACAAAACAATAAACATGTTTATTAATGTAGACCTATCTATGGAATCTTGATTTTAATGTACATCAGTAAGTCTGGATGTTTTGATGGATGAATAAAGAGGTGAAAGGAAAGATTGATTGATTGATTGATTGACTGGTTAAAGAACGTTTGGGTAGGTAGGATTGGTGTGTGGAAGCAACTGTATCTGATAGTAGCCTAATATAAGGATCCATTAGTACTAAATGATTTTGATGGCGACGATACAACCACCAATACCAATAATAATAATAGTTATAGAATGTTAGGTTAGTAGTAGGTCTAATTCTACAGGGTGTTTATATAGAGATTGCCCGATAATTCATGTGCAACCCATTTTCTGTTTTGAAATTTGATTGCTTGAAATGCCCCAGTTTCCTCTCCACGAGATGTGCTGTTTACCATATGATTATATTTGATAACACTTAATTAGGCTTACACGTAAACTATTATTGGGACGAATAATTGTGTCGTGTAACGTTATTCGTTCGATATTGTGAGGCATTATACAAATTGTTGTTGTTCTGGGTTCTTCTGGGCTGAATACAGAGACGCTGTTGTCTGAAACGTTTGGAATATACCTACGCGGCCACACGACGTCAAACCCAGAACAACATCGTCATTTTTGGCGCCTTGAGAACTTCAAATGGCGATGAAGCGAATCTTAAACACATACTATCATATTCGTAGGGTTCCGCAGTGGCCGCTTGGTCGCTGGGACCGTGGGTTCGAATCCCACTCAAGCCATGGATGTTCGCTGTGCTGTCCTGTGTACAGGTAGAGGCCTTGCGACGGGCTGATCCCCCGTCAAAGGAGTCCTACCGAATGTCTATAGATCAAGCCAACGAAACGTTGGGACCCGCAGTGCTCAGGCACTTGAAGAACGGGTCGATCCCAGTATGATATTCGTATGCGTTTATCATATAATTCCACAGTCATGTTCATGAATATTACAATGGGGAATAATGTGATGAAAATTATTAGAAATAAATTACTTTTTCCTTTCAGACATGTCATCATTCAAAATATCAGTTCTGTTTCTTGAATGGCTTAGTTTTTAGAGTGGCCGATGTCTTGATGTGGTTTCGAAGTTTTACGACCGAATCATAGCGGAAGTATACTTTTTGGTCATTAAGAGTCAATTGACAAGAATCGCCTTATGTCATTTTACCCAGACAGATCATGAGCCATCTTTGGCTAAGCAGGACGTTTCTTTAAACTAGGCAATGGAGAAGTCAATATAAATCTTCCATGACTCTTGATGTTATATTGACGTATTAAGGTGATATGACGTCAGAGTGTTCTCCAGTTCTGGATTCGTGATACTCGTTCTGTTGGTTCGAACGTTAGGGGGAGACACAAAATGCTACAATTTTTTAAAATAATTGTGTTTTCAGGAAACAAGACGAAGCAGAACTTGGGAGTGAGAAGCCTTCGCCGTTTAACTTCTTTTCCGGCCAGGAATCCGGTCCAGAAATTCATTTCCACCGAAAGGTAAGGTTGATTTTTAAGGTGTGGGATAGCATACTGAATCAAAGAATTATTTTAAATGTTATGTGTCACATTTAGCCGCGTGTTTTCTGCAGCTTAGAAGGATTTTGTGAGAAAGAATCGGTTTCGTCTGACAGCTGTTTCTTTCAAGGTCGTCGTGATTAGACGTTAGTTTCATGTTTTCTACAAAGACGATCGACACTGTATAGTCTGAGCTACTGAAAGAATCGTCGTTAAATAAATACGCGGAGGCGAAAAGATTTATAGGCCTGTCGCAATTGACTGTTAAATAAAGAGGATTTAATTAAGGATTTATTCTGGCTGAATATTGATGTGTCTTTGATAGATTTCAGCTTCGTTTATTGATTTAATAATATTTTTACACAGTTAATCATTCATACCACGTCATATATAATGGAGGGCAGTAACCAGGAGTTTTCTGTCATTTTATATAGTTTAGTAATTTAAAAAAAAATTAATAACTTTGTGAGCTAAATGTTTTCAATGACAAATAACAGCGGTATTTAAATCTAAGCATTTTTATAAAACGTTCTATTAGTAGTAATGGCTGTAAAAACAATGGGCCTACGACGTGGACATCTTATCTACGTAATTTTGTTAACTAATTGAATCTATACAAATGATTTTGTTAATAGTCAGCAACTGAAATGTTGGGGGTAAGAAGAAAATACATAACTAAAAATATGTTAGGCGTAATATTTGATTTAGGAAAGAATGTCGGACGTTTCGGTACAATTATGATGAAAGTCTTACTATTTATAGCTTCTGTGGCTTTTGTTTAATATATATATGCGCAAAACTGATGTTGTTCTCCAGTAAAGAACGCCTGTGTTGCGCGTGAAAAGGATTAATAAAGGATCAGTTTAGGATATCACACATGAAGAAACTTCATGAGGTGTACTGTAGTGTTGTTGGGTTAGTGGAACCTGAAAGTCTACGATTACGAGACAGGGAATTTTAAAGCGTCCACATGATACTTCGACAAAGGGGTTTCAGTATAAGAGTAGAATACATATTAGAGAGATTAATTGTTTGGAAACTTTGAGTTCTGCCATAACAATGGCAGATTTTTATGAGGCCTGATTCAAGGTCCATTTGGCCCGACCCAGAGCCCGAATTAAGCCCGATCTATTTAAAATCTGCCCTGACTATCGTGTCTCTGATACATGATTCTTTTAATGCATAAAACCATTGTTCATTAATTTATTTAAATACGCTGTTAAACATTTGTGGTTATTTTGGCGTTTGAGGAACGGTACACATACCGGATGGCAAGTTTGTAAGACAACTACTAAAATCTCTGAGAAAATGAAAGCAATGGGATTTATTAGGCGTGTCCCGGCTGATTCACGAATATTTAAACCAGCGAAACTACGAATAACTTTTTTTTTTGCGTAAAAATAATGACCTAGAAAGAACTCAAAATGTTTGATTGCTATCATTTGAACCAGGCCCAAACCCGAATTTCAGTGCCACCATCCCAGGACCGCGCAGTCCACTGCCGTAAAGGACGCCTGTGTTGTTTTTATTTGCATCTGACGATGGTAGCTTGACAAGTGCCGATGTTGGAGTCAGACCGGAGCATGCGCACTCAGAGCTTCCTAATTAAAATACCGCCTTCAGCAAGAGGAGCCGCGCGTTGTCATGGTGACGTCGTGAGGGTTCTGGCTAGTTCGCCCCTCTTCTCGGTCTTATACTTTCGCCGAACATATTCTGATTGTTAGTCATAAACAATCGGTCCGCGACCCCGAGTGTGCTCCGTGATTTAGTAGTGGGTAATTAAAATATTGTGTACCAGAAAGTTTCCCCACTCAAAGTACAACAGCATTACGAGTTACATCAAACCATAAAATCTCCAAAATAATTTTTAAAAAGAGGACCTGTTATAACGTCTTTTCAAAACTGTTGAAATGTCATAATTATCACTATTTTAAGACGTTATACCATGATATTTTTTTAAAAATGTGCTTTGTTTTTGAAGAAATGTCGTAATGTACCCACACACCCACCATGAGATTTATCCAAATATATTTTCCGCCTAAGTTTTGTCACAATTAAAAACATATTTTGCTGTTACATTTATCCAAAGTCGTATTTTCAATGTCAGTTGCATATTTAGATTCAACGTTTTAAAAATGTTGGGACTTTCCATAAATTCATTACATGTTCACAAATAAGTTCTCTTATTTATTTATTTATTTATTGTTTCTTTGTCGTTGTATCCTGTATCTGTTGCTTACAAATGTTCCCCTTTGAAATTCTCAGGATCGACTCAAGCATTTTTCGACTCTCGAACAATATTTTACAGTTTCCCGAGCGACCGCCTGTCCGTCCGTATGATTGCTATTGTTATTTATTTAAGCCATCATTTCGTTCCGGTCGGAACATTGGAACACTAGAGGTCATATATAAAGGGACGTCTAATTAGGACATTATTCCGTACTAGTACCTCAAAAAATCCTTCTGGTATTTCCGTACGACTTTGAATTCCCCGATAGATCCCAAACGGGGGCTTTACTTAAAGGGCCTATCTCCCAGAGCTTATATTTTAAGTCACAAATTGGTTTCCCCCAGTGATTGTCATGAAGATAAAAAGAGGTTTTAGAGAGGAATGCTACGGATCAATATCGAACTACAGGTAGCAGCTCCCAGCTCTCTTTAATTAGGGTAACGCGGTTCAAGTTCATATCCACACACACACACACAAAGAAAATGTATCAACTGACCTTAAAATGTTGGCCGCCGACATCTGGAATGTGGTAGTCAGCCAGATGTGACTCATAACATACGAGCCTTTTCCACTGCGACTTGAATCCGTATCATTGCCCCAAAACATCTGCAGTTCTGTCGTAAATAAAAGTTTTATTTAACTTTGTGTCCATCCGATGTTGGATAAATGCGGTCTGTGTTATGGTTCTGTAACCACTGTTACCAGTTTAAGAACTGTGCAGGTTTCACGAGCGTTTTTTCGAAACAACGCGTGAGACTTAATACCTTCAAGTCCTCTTCTTAATCCTTTCTTACCACTTTAAATTTGTTTTTACATTTGATATCTCCAATTCAAACAGACGGGGTTAAAATAAAATGTTAATTTTACGTGAATCTGTAAGATTTTAAGATAATTTCTTTTAGTGTTAGACGATGTTTGTGAAAAATTGTGTCGATAATAACAGATATTTTAAATGTATATTTGTTTTCACAACAAATTATTTTAACAGAGTTTCAGTGTTGCTTCAATCTTGTAAGTTCGCGTGTCCACCGTGCAGTTATTACGTGTTAGAAGATCAAAAGATTTGTAGCTGAGGCTACTACTCGATACGTTTTTTCTTCAGAAGTTTAAAAGAGAGACAGCATTGTGACAAGCCTACTTGTTTTCATTAAGAAAGGAGAGTGAAGCTAAACCGACTAGGTCAAGATGAATTGGACTGGATATTTGAGGATCAGGTGATGTTACGTTGCAATGAATGAGTATGGCGTAAGGAGAGGTGTGTGATATTGTGTCCCGCTATACGCCATATGGGCGCTTGGAGGGAGAGGTATTATAGCTCCTACTCATTCTTGACCTCGGCCCTAGATGGGGTGAGTGGTCAGCTACACGCCCGGCTACGCTTTATCCCCGGGTAAAGGACTCCGGTACCCATTGGTTAGGAGGCTGGGTGATCCCCAGAGCAGAGGCTAGACGGAAAATCGGGATCTGAGCCCCGATCGGCCAGTCTGAGTTCCCCTGGCCAAATGAGGTGAGCTGTGTCGGGCGGTTTCTTCCGTAATCTGGGACAGACAGACGGAGTTGTTGGAAAAGTAGAATTGGTTTGAACTGATATGAATTCAGATAGTGGAACGATGTCTTGTCATACTGTATGTTTTTCTCGCTGCAGACACAAAGGAAAATGAAGCGATAATTTAGATGTTTCCTTTGAATATGACTAACAGGTGACTGACATGTGAAACAGCCACACCTGTGGTTGTATCATTATTTCTCCCTCTCACGTTACGTAAATTCCACTTCAACTATTGATTATCATGTCATATGTGATGTTTTCCTATGTGTTCGAACACAAACAATTGAAGGTCCACTGCGGTATTGTACGGCATGACGCACACGAAGAGGACACATCCCGGTGCTTTTTATCACCTGAAGAAGTTGTTTGGCGTAGTCGAGATAAGATGTAATGGAAGGACTAAGGACGAGACATTAGAATGTAAGGGTAAGGGTTCGAATGGGAGAATGTTTGAACCTAAGAGGATTGAAGTGACAAGAGAGTGGAGAAAACTGTATTACGAGGAGTTTCATAGTTTGTTTAAGCTCTGCACCAAATATTATTAAGGTAATCAAATAAGGGAGTTTGAGATAAGCAGGACATGTAGCGAGCATGGGGAAAATAAGAAATGTTTACTAAATTTTAGTTCGAAAGACTGAAGGGAGGGGACAACTCGGAAGACCCATATGTTAATGAGATAACAATATTAAAATAGTTATTGGGGAAATGATCTCTTAGGCTGTTGATTGAATTTGTGTGGCCGGCAATTTTGAACACTGAAATGAAACTTCGAGTTTCACAAGGAGCGGGGAATTTCCTAACTAACTACTCCATTAAGGTAGGTAGGTAGTTAGTTAGAGGTGGTGTTCGAAACGTAATGGAAATCAAGATTTTTATTACCGAGTTTGGTTTGTACCTATCATGCACAATTTGTATTATCTTAAATCCCTAGTATGAAGTTCAAGTTTTATTTCCACGGGAAACAAATTCATGATGGGGGCTAACTTTATGTAGCGTGCCTGAGCGTTTCTAAACCACGTGTAATGAGAGCTGGAGGACAAAAACTGCTTTTCTTGGGTAAGGGCTGCAAAGAGGATTACCCTCAAGAGGGAGTTGTGACTGATGCTATTGTTTGCCGCGACGCGCGCCCTCAACGGGGAACCACCTCCTGTCCCCCTCCCCCGGCATCTGTCTCGGGCTTTTTTAACGAAATTCTCCCCCTGT